CTAACTGTTGATGAATCACACACTAACTAGCAATGAATCACAATAACTAGCGATGAATCACACACTAACTGGTGATGAATCACACACTAACTGGTGATGAATCACACTAGCTAGCGATGAATCACACACTAACTGGTGATGAATCACACACTAACTGGTGATGAATCACACACTAACTAGTGGTGAATCACACACTAACTACTGATGAATTACACACTAACTGGTGATGAATCACACACTAACTGGTGAAGAATCACACACTACTAGTGATGAATCACACACTAACTGGTGATGAATCACACACTAACTGGTGATGAATCACACACTAACTAGCGATGAATCACACACTAACTGGTGATGAATCACACACTAACTGGTGATGAATCACACACTAACTAGCGATGAATCACACACTAACTAGTGATGAATCACACACTAACTACTTATGAATTACACACTAACTGGTGATGAATCACACACTAACTGGTGATGAATCACACACTAACTAGCAATGAATCACACAATAACTAGCGATGAATCACACACTAACTGGTGATGAATCACACACTAACTGGTGATGAATCACACACTAACTAGTGATGAATCACACACTTACTGGTGATGAATCACACTAACTAGCGATGAATCACAGACTAACTAGTGATGAATCACACACTAACTAGTGATGAATCACACAATAACTAGTGATGAATCACACACTAACTAGCGATGAATCACACACTAACTGGCGGTGATTCACACACTAACTGGTGATGAATCACACACTAACCGGCGATGAATCACACACTAACTGGTGATGAATCACACACTAACTAGTGATGAATCACACACTAACTGGTGATGAATCACACACTAACTGGTGATGAATCACACACTAACTAGTGATGAATCACACACTAACTGGTAATGAATCACACACTAACTGGTGATGAATCACACACTAACTAGCGATGAATCACAGACTAACTGGTGATGAATCACACACTAACTAGTGATGAATCACACTAACTGGTGATGAATCAAACACTAACTAGCGGTGAATCACACACTAACTAGCAGTGAATCAGACTAACTAGTGATGAATCACACACTGACTAGCGGTGAATCACAGACTAACTAGCGTCGAATCACAGACTAACTAGCGATGAATCACACACTAACTAGTGATGTATCACACACTGACTAGTGGTGAATCACAGACTAACTAGTGATGAATCACACACTAACTAGTGATGAATCACACACTAACTAGTGATGAATCACACACTGACTAGCGGTGAATCACAGACTAACTAACGGTGAATCACACACTAACTAGTGATGAATTACACACTAACTGGTGATGAATCACACAGTAACTGGTGATGAATGACACACTAACTGCTGATGAATCACACACTAACTGGCGATGAATCACACACTAACTGGTGATGAATCACACACTAACTGGTGATGAATCACACTAACTAGCGATGAATCACACTAACTAGTGATGAATCACACACTAACTGGCGGTGATTCCCACACTGACTAGTGATGAATCACACACTAACTAGCGATGAATCACACACTTACTAGTGATGAATCACACTAACTGGCGATGAATCTCGCACTAACTGGTGATGAATCACACACTAACTAGTGATGAATCACACTAACTGGTGATGAATCACACACTAACTGGTAATGAATCACACACTAACTGGTGATGAATCACACTAACTAGCGATGAATCACAGACTAACTGGTGATGAATCACACTAACTAGTGATGAATCACACATTAACTGGTGATGAATCACACTAACTAGCGATGAATCACACACTAACTGGCGATGAATCACACACTAACTGGTGATGAATCACACACTAACTAGCGGTGAATCACACACTAACTGGTGATGAATCACACACTAACTGGCGATGAATCACACACTAACTGGTGATGAATCACACTAGCTAGCGATGAATCACACACTAACTGGCGATGAATCACACACTAACTGGTGATGAATCACACACTAACTAGCGGTGAATCACACACTAATTACTGATGAATTACACACTAACTGGTGATGAATCACACACTAACTGGTGATGAATCACACACTAACTAGTGATGAATCACACACTAACTGGTGATGAATCACACACTAACTGGTGATGAATCACACACTAACTGGTGATGAATCACACACTAACTAGTGATGAATCACACACTTACTGGTGATGAATCACACTAACTGGTGATGAATCACACACTAACTGGTGATGAATCACACACTAACTGGTGATGAATCACAGACTAACTAGTGATGAATCACACTAACTGGTGATGAATCACACACTAACTCGTGATGAATCACACACTAACTAGCGATGAATCACACACTAACTAGTGGCGAATCACACACTAACTAGCGATGAATCACACACTAACTGGCGGTGATTCACACACTAACTGGCGATGAATTACACATTAACTGGTGATGAATCACACTAACTAGCGATGAATCACAGACTAACTAGTGATGATTCACACACTAACTAGTGATGAATCACACACTAACTAGTAATGAATCACACACTAACTAGCGATGAATCACACACTAACTGGCGGTGATTCACACACTAACTGGCGATGAATCACACACTGACCGGCGATGAATCACACACTAACTAGTAATGAAACACAATAACTAGCGATGAATCACACACTAACTGGTGATGAATCACACACTAACTGGTGATGAATCACACACTAACTAGTGATGAATCACACACTTACTGGTGATGAATCACACTAACTGGTGATGAATCACACACTAACTGGTGATGAATCACACACTAACTGGTGATGAATCACAGACTAACTAGTGATGAATCACACTAACTGGTGATGAATCACACACTAACTCGTGATGAATCACACACTAACTAGCGATGAATCACACACTAACTAGTGGTGAATCACACACTAACTAGCGATGAATCACACACTAACTGGCGGTGATTCACACACTAACTGGCGATGAATTACACACTAACTGGTGATGAATCACACTAACTAGCGATGAATCACAGACTAACTAGTGATGATTCACACACTAACTAGTGATGAATCACACACTAACTAGTGATGAATCACACACTAACTAGCGATGAATCACACACTAACCTGCGGTGATTCACACACTAACTGGCGATGAATCACACACTAACCGGCGATGAATCACACATTAACTGGTGATGAATCACACACTAACTGGCGATGAATCACACACTAACTGGTGATGAATCACACACTAACTAGCGATGAATCACACACTAACTAGTGATGAATCACACACTAACTACTGATGAATTACACACTAACTGGTGATGAATCACACACTAACTGGTGATGAATCACACACTAACTAGCAATGAATCACACAATAACTAGCGATGAATCACACACTAACTGGTGATGAATCACACACTAACTGGTGATGAATCACACACTAACTTGTGATGAATCACACACTGGTGATGAATCACACACTAACTGGTGATGAATCACACACTAACTAGTGATGAATCACACTAACTGGTGATGAATCACACACTAACTGGTGATGAATCACAGACTAACTAGTGATGAATCACACACTAACTGGTGATGAATCACACACTAACTCGTGATGAATCACACACTAACTAGCGATGAATCACACACTAACTGGTGATAAATCACACACTAACTAGCGGTGAATCACACACTAACTAGCGGCGAATCACACACTAACTAGTGATGAATCACACACTAACTGGCGGTGATTCACACACTAACTGGTGATGAATCACACACTAACTAGCGATGAATCACAGACTAACTAGTGATGAATCACACACTAACTGGCGATGAATCACACACTGGTGATGAATCACACTAACTAGCGGTGATTCACACACTAACTAGCGGTGAATCACAGACTAACTAGAGATGAATCACACACTAACTAGTGATGAATCACATACTTACTGGCAGTGATTCACACACTAACTAGCGATGAATCACAGACTAACTAGCGATGAATCACAGACTAACTGGCGGTGATTCACACACTAACTCACGATGCTGAGTGTACTTCCGTGTAAACCCACAGAGACTGCTGTTCGCCAGTACGAGCTGATTCCCTCCAGGGAGCTGAGGCTAAAGTTCCGCAGACAACCCGGACAGGTACCCCTGGCACCCACCAACTACCCTGGCACCCACCAACTACCCTGGTACCCACCAACTACCCTGGTACCCACCACTACCCTGGTACCCACCAACTACCCTGGCACCCACCAACTACCCTGGTACCCACCAACTACCCTGGCACCCACCAACTACCCTGGCACCCACCAACTACCCTGGCACCCACCAACTACCCTGGTACCCACCAACTACCCTGGCACCCACCAACTACCCTGGCACCCACCAACTACCCTGGTACCCACCAACTACCCTGGCACCCACCAACTACCCTGGCACCCACCAACTACCCTGGTACCCACCACTACCCTGGTACCCACCATTCCCCTGGCTACCCGTCCACCCCTTTTGTTCAACAGAAGAGAGCCCGCTCTCTATCCGACATGCCGGTGGCCGAGGAGGGAGGAGAAGAGACGAAGAGGAGACGCATTGGAGACACGGGGAGACACGGGGGAGACGCGGGGAGACACGGGGAAGACGCGGGGAGACACGGGGGAGACGCGGGGAGACACGGGGAAGACGCGGGGAGACACGGGGAAGACGCGGGGAGACACGGGGAAGACGCGGGGAGACGCGTTGGAGACGCGGGGAGACATGGAGATGCGGGGAGACATGGAGATGCGGGGAGACATGGAGATGCGGGGAGACATGGCGGAGACACGGGGAGACACGGGGGAGACGCGGGGAGACACGGCGGAGACGCGGGGAGACACGGGGGAGACACGGGGAGACACGGCGGAGACGCGGGGAGACACGGCGGAGACGCGGGGAGACACGGCGGAGACGTCGGGACGAGAAGGAGACACAGCGTAGACGCGGGGAGACGCTGTGGAGACGCCGGGACAGACGCTGGGACGCACGGGAGAGACACGAAGGCTCGGGGAGACGCAGCGGCGAGGCACGGGAGGGACGCGGCGGGGAGGCCGGGCGGTGAGGTCAGGCCCAGCGAAATGTCGTCGCTGTACGGAGTCCGCGCCTGGAAGGAGTGGGTCCAGAGCCTGGGAGCCTCGCAGCACCGTGAGTAAACGGGGGCCCTCCCCTAGGCCTACTCGGCCTTAACCGAGCACCGGGGGTTTGGGGGCGTTGTGCAAGTCTTAAACCTTACGAAGGGCATTTTTTGTTGTTGTTGTTGTTGTTGTTGTCACGTCTTGTCGAGTCTGTGTGTGCCCGCGCCTCCCTTGTAACGCTTTCAGCCGACAAACTTTTTGGGTTTGCGTTTCAACAAAGCGAGCGCACAAAATGCAGCACGCCAAGCCCCCCCCCCCCCCCCCTCCCCGCGGGTGAACACTTGCTCTTTGTTTTTTTGCCCAATAAACTGAGAAAATCACGCTTTGCAACGACGTCCGCCGACCACGATGCCGGCTTCGCACGTGCTCGGAACGGCGACTCGCGGTCGCCCCTAGCAACGGGGATGCGCTTGCCGAGCGACGGCGGGGGTGGAGGAGGAGGAGGAGGAGGAGGGGGCGGGCGGGGGGGGGAGAGGTTCTCCTTGGCGTCAAACGGCTCGGTGGGTCGCGGTCATTTTGTTCGCGAGGGCGAAACGCCAAGAAGGAAGGGAACAGAAGCCCCCTCCGAAACAAGCGCGGACACAAAAGGGGGGAGCCCGTGCCGTTGGCGCGCAAAGCAAACAGCGGAGGAGCGGCGGCTTCCTCAACAGCAAAAAAAAAACAACGCGCCTCAGCAACACGTGCTTGAGGAAACCGCAGAGCAGCGTGCATCAATGCAAGCCAGAGTCTGCACAGTAACTTCTGCAGCACAGGCTGAGGAAACTACAAAGCAGCCTGCATCAATGCAAGCCAGAGTCTGCACAGTCACTGCTGTAGCACAGGCTGAGGAAGCTACAGAGCAGCGTGCATCAATGCAAGCCAGAGTCAGCACAGTCACTGCTGTAGCACAGGCTGAGGAAACTGCAGAGCAGCCTGCATCAATGCAAGCCAGAGTCTGCACAGTAACTTCTGCAGCACAGGCTGAGGAAACTGCAGAGCAGCGAGCATCAAGACAAGCCACAGACTACACAGTTACTGCTGTAACACAGGCTGAGGAAACTGCAGAGCAGCCTGCATCAATGCAAGCCAGAGACTAATTTGTGAGAGGGGGGAGGCACGTGGCCCCGGGTGTGTGCACGGACGCCCAGGTGGGGGGGGGGGGGGGCTGGCGCCGGCGCGGTGGGGGGCACGGGGGGAGGGGCATGCCGGGAGGGCGGAGTTTAGCGGGGTTTGGAGGCCATGTGGGGCGGCACGGTTGGCACGTGGCCTGGTTCATTGCGTTGCTTCGGGGATTGCTCAATTGCAAGAGTTAAGTGTGAGGTTTGGGATGCGGACGGCGCACACACACACACACACGGACGTTGGGGTGGAGCGGACCAGCGCGGGTGCAGGCGCGCAGTGAAGTCGCCTTGGATGTGCAGAGAGGGCGGGGCTGGGAGGCAGTGGGACGTGTTAGCATGAGAAGTCTTTGTGTTGTCTTGTGTGTTGTCTTGTGTGTTGTCTGTGTGTTGTCTCTGCCTTTGTGTCTGTGCTTGGATTTGTTTCTCTGTGCTGTCCCTGCCTGTGTTGTGTGGGTCTTGGTGCTTCTGAATGTTTGCTGCCGTGCTCCACTTTGCTCCATGCATACCTCATGCTAAAATGTCCCTTTGTCTCTCAGCCTTGCCTTCTCTGCCTGCTTGAGGCGACTTCACTGTGTGCTTGTACCTGTGCTGGTCCGCTCGACTTGAATGTCTATGTGTGTGTGTGCCGTCTGTATCTTATTTAGCAATCTTTGAAATAGCCTGGTTGATTACGCTATGCGTTAATTGTGTTCTGACCGACCGTCTGTGTTGCTTTATATGGTTTCCAAATTCTGCTAAACTCTGTCTGTCTGGTATGCTTCTCTCTCTGTGTCCCCTATTGTGTCGGTGTTAGTTCCCCCTACTTGGGTGTCTGTGTATACATCTGGGGTTATGTGTTTCCCCTCTCGTAAATTTAGCTCTTCTGTACCTGATGATGGCTGCTTGTGTTACAACCGAAACGTCATACGCTATTATGTTATTTTATTATTTCTTATTAATACGTGACTTTACCGAAAAAAAACAAAGATTCATTCCTGCAGTCACGAAAGCTTCGAACCAAGTTGAAGCCAGAGACTGCTATAGAGTCAGTAGATACTACTGTAGAGTCAGTAGATACTACTGTAGAGTCAGTAGATACTACTGTAGAGTCAGTAGATACTACCGTAGAGTCAGTAGATACTACCGTAGAGTCAGTAGATACTACTGTAGAGTCAGTAGATACTACTATAGAGTCAGTAGTTACTACTGTAGTGTCAGTAGATACTACTGTAGTGTCAGTAGATACTACTATAGTGTCAGTAGATACTACTGTAGTGTCAGTAGATACTACTGTAGAGTCAGTAGATACTACTATAGTGTCAGTAGATGCTACTTTAGAGTCAGTAGATACTACTATAGAGTCAGTAGTTACTACTGTAGAGTCAGTAGATACTACTGTAGAGTCAGTAGATACTACTATAGAGTCAGTAGATACTACTATAGTGTCAGTAGATACTACTGTAGTGTCAGTAGATACTACTGTAGAGTCAGTAGATACTACTATAGTGTCAGTAGATGCTACTGTAGAGTCAGTAGATACTACTATAGAGTCAGTAGTTACTACTGTAGAGTCAGTAGATACTACTGTAGAGTCAGTAGATACTACTATAGAGTCAGTAGATACTACTATAGTGTCAGTAGATACTACTATAGTGTCAGTAGATGCTACTGTAGAGTCAGTAGATACTACTGTAGAGTCAGTAGATACTACTGTAGAGTCAGTAGATACTACTGTAGAGTCAGTAGATACTACTGTAGAGTCAGTAGATACTACTGTAGTGTCAGTAGATACTACTGTAGAGTCAGTAGATACTACTGTAGAGTCAGTAGATACTACTATAGAGTCTGTAGATACTATTATAGAGTCAGTAGATACTACTATAGAGTCAGTAGATACTACTGTAGAGTCAGTAGATACTACTGTAGAGTCAGTAGATACTACTGTAGAGTCAGTAGATACTACTGTAGAGTCAGTAGATACTACTGTAGAGCCAGTAGATACTACCGTAGAGTCAGTAGATACTACCGTAGAGTCAGTAGATACTACCGTAGAGTCAGTAGATACTACTATAGAGTCAGTAGTTACTACTGTAGTGTCAGTAGATACTACTGTAGTGTCAATAGATACTACTATAGTGTCAGTAGATACTACTGTAGTGTCAGTAGATACTACTGTAGAGTCAGTAGATACTACTATAGTGTCAGTAGATGCTACTGTAGAGTCAGTAGATACTACTATAGAGTCAGTAGTTACTACTGTAGAGTCAGTAGATACTACTGTAGAGTCAGTAGATACTACTATAGAGTCAGTAGATACTACTATAGTGTCAGTAGATACTACTGTAGTGTCAGTAGATACTACTGTAGAGTCAGTAGATACTACTATAGTGTCAATAGATGCTACTGTAGAGTCAGTAGATACTACTATAGAGTCAGTAGTTACTACTGTAGAGTCAGTAGATACTACTGTAGAGTCAGTAGATACTACTATAGAGTCAGTAGATACTACTATAGTGTCAGTAGATACTACTATAGTGTCAGTAGATGCTACTGTAGAGTCAGTAGATACTACTGTAGAGTCAGTAGATACTACTGTAGAGTCAGTAGATACTACTGTAGAGTCAGTAGATACTACTGTAGAGTCAGTAGATACTACTGTAGAGTCAGTAGATACTACTGTAGAGCCAGTAGATACTACCGTAGAGTCAGTAGATACTACTATAGAGTCAGTAGTTACTACTGTAGAGTCAGTAGATACTACTATAGAGTCAGTAGTTACTACTGTAGAGTCAGTAGATACTACTGTAGAGTCAGTAGATACTACTGTAGAGTCAGTAGATACTACTGTAGAGTCAGTAGATACTACTGTAGAGTCAGTAGATACTACTGTAGAGCCAGTAGATACTACCGTAGAGTCAGTAGATACTACCGTAGAGTCAGTAGATACTACTGTAGAGTCAGTAGATACTACTATAGAGTCAGTAGTTACTACTGTAGTGTCAGTAGATACTACTGTAGTGTCAATAGATACTACTATAGTGTCAGTAGATACTACTGTAGTGTCAGTAGATACTACTGTAGAGTCAGTAGATACTACTATAGTGTCAGTAGATGCTACTGTAGAGTCAGTAGATACTACTATAGAGTCAGTAGTTACTACTGTAGAGTCAGTAGATACTACTGTAGAGTCAGTAGATACTACTATAGAGTCAGTAGATACTACTATAGTGTCAGTAGATACTACTGTAGTGTCAGTAGATACTACTGTAGAGTCAGTAGATACTACTATAGTGTCAGTAGATGCTACTGTAGAGTCAGTAGATACTACTATAGAGTCAGTAGTTACTACTGTAGAGTCAGTAGATACTACTATAGAGTCAGTAGATACTACTATAGTGTCAGTAGATACTACTATAGTGTCAGTAGATGCTACTGTAGAGTCAGTAGATACTACTGTAGAGTCAGTAGATACTACTGTAGAGTCAGTAGATACTACTGTAGAGTCAGTAGATACTACTGTAGAGTCAGTAGATACTACTGTAGAGTCAGTAGATACTACTGTAGTGTCAGTAGATAATGTAGTGTCAGTAGATACTACTATAGAGTCAGTAGATACTACTGTAGAGTCAGTAGATACTACTGTAGAGTCAGTAGATACTACTATAGAGTCTGTAGCTACTATTATAGAGTCAGTAGATACTACTATAGAGTCAGTAGATACTACTGTAGAGTCAGTAGATACTACTATAGTGTCAGTAGTTACTACTGTAGAGTCAGTAGATACTACTGTAGAGTCAGTAGATACTACTGTAGAGTCAGTAGATACTACTGTAGAGTCAGTAGATACTACTGTAGAGTCAGTAGATACTACTGTAGAGCCAGTAGATACTACCGTAGAGTCAGTAGATACTACCGTAGAGTCAGTAGATAC